ATATATATATTATTGCTTTCAGAGAAGAAGGGAGAGGGAGAAAGAGATTGAAACACCAATGAGAGAGAATCATTAATCAGTTGTCTCCTGCACACCCCCTACTGGGAATCAACTGTGACCTCCTGGTTCATAGGTCAATGGTCAACCACTGAGCCACACCAGCCAGGCCCTGTGATTTTCAAAGATAAAAATTAAACCTCCTTTATGTGTAGGAAGCAAAAGGAATGAAGGGAAATACTAAGGCCTGAAAGGGTATTATAAGTTGATAACGGAGTATGTCAAGAATAAGTCAATTCTATCATAAATTAAGCTTTCTGCTTACCTAAGCCAAATAGCTGGCCTTGGTCTAAAGATCTCTTAGAACAGGATCTGGAAGAAACACTGGGATCGGAGAATTTCATGCCTGTCTTTGGAACGGTCCAGAGGGGAGACAGCTCAGACAACTACTATAGGAAAGCAAATAGCCAAAGTGAACAAAAAAGATGAATTTTTACTATTTCATAGTCATTAGACAGTCCTATAACTTATCTTCCCACAGAAATTGGACACCACACAGAAATCTGTTGTGGTGTCTGTAATTTGTTCCATCTATCTCTATCTTTTCCTTTTCAGTTAGTGTTGGAAATAATCCTGCACCAACCAGAAATCCTCACGTGTTCATGGATTGCGGGGTGTGGGTTGCACTCTAACATCTCCCTGTATGTTCATGAACTATCCACAAGCCCACTGATTTCTATCATTGATCTCCTTGGCTCAGTCACTGTTCTACCTCTTGTACATTCATAAGGCAAATTGTACAGGCTTCCAACACCCTCTGCTTCTCTTGTAACTCTTGAAACAAATGATTTACAACATTATTTGTTTAATGTTTGTCTTCTTATATTCTCCATGAGGACAGAGATCTGGTCCAGTTATGTTCACCTCTGAATTCTCAGCCCTTAGGAGGGTGTCTTCTACAACACAGGGGTTCAATCAATATTGTTGGATGGATTTCTTTCACTGACCATACAGACTCGCAGACCTACTGGAAGAGAACCAAGAAGAGCTGGCAACCATTGAAGCCCTCGATTCTGGCGCGGTCTACACCTTGGCTCTCAAGACTCACATTGGAATGTCTGTGCAAACATTCAGATATTTTGCTGGCTGGTGCGACAAAATTCAGGTGAGCGCAGATGTTGTCTCCGTATAGATCATTCTGAAAGGAAAAGGGATGGACATTTCTTAGTTGGTAAGGACACTGTGTCAGAGCCACCCCTTATGTAGATTTTTGTCTCACTTTCAAGGTGTATCATTCTGGAAGGAAAATGGATGAACACTGTGTAAGCCACCCCTTATGTAGATTTTTGTCTCACTTTCAAGGAGTCCAAAGGCAGGCAGTCAGGTCTAGTATGTGAGATGAAGGTCCCCTCTCTCTCTGCTGGGCCATCCTTAGGACCCTGTGATCTTCACTCTTGGGATTGTCTCATAGTCTCATGATAGTCACTGCAGTGCCAGCCATTTCAGCAACATTCTGAGCAGGAAGAAGAAAGAAGTGCGAGGAACAGGAAAACAGCATTTGTGTGAGCTGTGCTCTTTCCCCTCTCAATGCCTTGTGCTTACATCTTCCATTGACCATCCCTGTCCTCTATGAAAACTGGGCAAGTTTCTTATCTGAGCATGTCGCCATCCCCATCATTACTAAGGAAAAAGGGGGTAATGAATATTGGGCAGGCAATTAACATTCTCTACCATGCCAAGAAATTGGAATGGAGGTGAATAAATTAGAATTACGTTTATTCTCCCATGCCTGGATTCTTTCAAGAAATGAATAGAAGTTCCTTTCTTGATGTGGATGTATTTCTTATCAACTGAACACGTCTTTTCCTGTAAGCTAGGCAAAACAAGAGAGGCAGACAGGAAATGGATTCTTCGAGATTACAGGGAACAAATGTTAAACCACCTATGATATCCTCAAGTCTCTCATCTATTCTGACACAGGTTAAATTTACTCATTTCAAAGAGTAAAATAAGCACCCACCTCTTTTGTGTCTTAGGGTTCTACCATCCCTATCAACCAGGCCCGTCCAAATCGCAATCTGACCTTCACCAAGAAGGAGCCACTTGGGTAAGGCAAGGGAAGCAAGCGTCTCTGAGTGACTTATGCTGCTTCAAGACAACCAAGGATGTCGGCTTTCTTCCTCCGCAGTGTCTGTGCCATTATCATCCCCTGGAATTACCCGCTGATGATGCTGGCGTGGAAGAGTGCCGCCTGTCTCGCAGCAGGCAATACCTTAGTGCTCAAGCCAGCGCAGGTAAGACGCCAGGGACTGGCTGCCACAGCCCCTCCTCTCCTGTCTACTTAACATCAGAGACATGCATTCTTTGTACCAGTCTTGCAACTTTGCTGTAATTATGTCAAAATAAAAGAAAACAATAAAATGAGCCCTAGTGCGGCCATAGGTGAAAAACTCGGGACTGATCTAAGGGCCAGGACAGAGTCTGAAGGTCATTGCTGTCTGCTTCTGCTCAGGTCACGCCCTTGACTGCTTTGAAGTTTGCAGAGCTCTCTGTTAAAGCTGGCTTTCCCAAGGGGGTAATCAACATCATTCCGGGCTCAGGTAAGCCACCAAAAGACCCTTTTCACGCTAGTTAATGAATGGTATAGGGGTAGCTGAGTGGCTGTTTTCCCACTGGAGTCTGTCCTGGATTATAACTATATTAAACCTAAACACTGTTTACCAAACAGTTAACTTAAGGATAAATATACTGACCATGCCTTAAAGTCTTAAAATGGAAACATAATGGTGAATG